CAAAGCAAGTGAGCTCTATGCCCCCCATATGGTGTTTGGTAGTGCTCAGTGAAATCATAAATGAAAATGCTTTGGAAATAGTAAAACCACTGTAATATATTCTTTTCATTTTATTTGTTAAGTCAGAGTTAAACTCCCATATAACCTACTTATGTTTTCCAGAGTCTAGGAGTTCCAAACTTTTCCCCTAACAGAGAAATGAGGTTGTTCCTATCTGTCCTTATTAGCCTAGAAATGCTAGGGTGAGAGAACTAGTCCTTTGAGGTTGTTCCTATCTGTCCTTATTAGCCTAGAAATGCTAGGGTGAGAGAACTAGTCCTTTGCCTGGACACTGTGTGCAGTTTGAATGTCTGTCTCTATTCTTGTGTGTGTCAATGTCTGAGCCACTGGCCTGGGTTCAAATCTTGATTGTTGGAGGTTTTTCCTACCAGCTGTGTGGACAAACCTCTTTGAACTTCAGTATCTTTGTCATAATAAAACCTACCCCCAAAAGACTCTAGAGAAGATTATACAAGATATAATGTATAAAGCACCGGCGCAGAATAGGTTCTCAGGAAATAAACTCCCTTCCTACTTCCCTGTGTCTACCCCCCCACCACATCCCCAGAAGTCAAGCCAGCTTCTGGATGTCCCGTGGTCATTGCCTGCCTGCTGAAGTAAGGGGTTAGTTAACTTCGATGCTCTCTGAGTCTCTTTCCTTAGAAAATAACATTTTTCCTAATATCCCCACTACCTTAGTGTCTGTCTTCCTATCTAATGCATTCCCCACCTTGCTTCTATCCAATAGAATAAAATCCTCTTAAGTCCAAGATACCAGCCGGTCCCTTGAAGGAACAGAACAAAAAGCATAGGCATAGAAGGACACATGCTTTAGAAAGGCAGGCCTGGATGCAAATCTTGGATCTGCCACTTACTAACTATGTGACTGTGGGCAAGCATATTAACCTCTTGGAACCTCAGTCTCCTTGTTTATGAAATGGGTCAGTAAGATAACGTGCGAGAAGACAAACAGGACTTGGCAAATAGTTAAGATTCAGTGAAGGATGATGATGATGATGATGGTACTAATTACTTCTGAACTGTAGAGGAGCCTATCTTGGGGGGTCCCTGAAATCCCCACCCCTACAAAGACTCATGCATTAGCTCCAGATGCTCTTCACACTACTCTTCTCAGTATTGCCCGGATTCCTGAAAAGTCACTTTACATCATAGCACATAAAAATAACCACAGTAATTGATTCCCACAGCACTTTTCATCCCTTATCCCCTTTGACTCTCCCAGCTGTGAGATAGGTGAATTTTATTTTCCTCCCTACTTTATAGAGACAACTGAGGCCAAGTGAGGGTAGGTAGTCCATGCAAGAATTTGAGCCTGGCCTTGCTTCTAAATTCCCTGTGCTTTCCTTGTATCACACAAGTCTCAAGCAGTACTTTGAGGTCTAGCCTTGCTGAGGGAAGGAGAAGGGGTATGTTCTATGTATACAGCTGTGAAGTTCTCAGCACACCTTTACAGGCAATTTGTGAGCAAACAGGTACATAGTAGGAAGTGCAGTATCTGAGGGGGCGGGGTAGGGGCACGGTTCTGAGACCACAGCAGACTACCCTAATGCTAATTAGAGTTAGGCAGCAGAGTGGACAGGGAGCCAAATGAGGGAGAAGTCTGGGTCCTGGCCACACACCACCAGCTGACATCCCAACTAACCTTGGGCAAGTTTCTGAAGTTTCCTCGATCCCCACTTTCAACATAAATGGCACACACACACACACACACACGCACAAAAAGAAGGACAGATAGAAGCTCAATTTAGGCAAAAAGACATCTGCAGTTCTCATCAGCATTACTTTGGCTTTGAAATCGACAGCTCAGAGACCCCCCACCACTTAAAAAAAATTTTAAAGACAAAACAGTATAACTTAATGGTTCTGCCAACTCTTCAAAAAATCAGAGAGCACAACACTGATTTTTTTTTTTCTTTTCTTTCTCTTTTTAAATTTTGGCAAAGAAAGATTCAGTTCCTGGAAATGCTTACAAAATAATTCCTGACACTGGGAGGAGATAGTTTAAAAAAGGAAGAAGACAGCGAGGAGAAACTACATATATAGAGAGATAAAGGAAGACGGTGGAAAGAAAGAGAATAAACAAAAGAAAGAAAAGAAAGAGGGGGCGAAAAAAAGACTTTAAAAAGCCCCAGTTCAAGGAACGTTATCAAGTTCTCAGCATCTGCAATTCACAAGCCGCTCGCGGGTCAGGGCGGTGTAGACTCCGCCCCTTTCTCGGGTGTCGGGCGCTCATTGGTAGGGGCGGCCGTCGCCGGCCGGTGACTGCCCGAGGAAAGGTTGCCTGGGACACGCATCCCTGTGTGAACGCATGACGTCCCACCCTGGCGCCAGGCTGTCTGGGGCTGAGTCTTAGATCAACACAGCTGTGGGACCGGGACCCACAGCTGGGCAAAGGAGCGGATTCCTCAACAAAAAATAGGATTGTGAGAAAAGTTCTGAAACAAAAACAGCGCAGACAAAAGCCTTAATGACATCCTTTCATAAAAATAAAAAATGCAAGAGGGGGGAAAAAGCTGGTAAAAGGAGCAGAACTGGGAACAGAAAGTTCAGAGGCATTTGGAATAAGAGGCTGAGGCCCCGCCACCGCTAAACAAGTTGCAGAAAGCCTGAGCTAGCCCTCCAGTCCGCTGCTGGGAGAAAGAAGTCTTTTGGGTTCAACCTTCATTCAGTGTTCCAGCCTTAACCTGCTTCTTTCAAAATTAGAATCTTAGATTGGAGAGGACCCTAAGAGGTCATTTGCTTCCCCCTTCCGCAATTTACAGAAAATGAGGCGCAGGAAGGAAGAAAATTCATCCAGGGCCACACTGCAAGTTATTGGCGTGGTCATTCTGCTTGCTAATCCCCCTGCATCCCTCTCCTGCTATGTGTCACACAGCCCAAAGGCATTTCAGTCTGAAAACATTTTGGGAAATAATAAATATGAAGGTGCTTTGCAACTGGCTATACAAGCCTGAGGCATCAGTGGTAGAAACAGAGAGAAAGGAGAGAGAGAAACCTTTGGATTGCACACCGACCACACACCTGGCCCATGCTGGATCCCCAGGCACCAAGGAGACTAACAGATATGATGGAGACGGCATATCAAATGCCTTGCAGAGAAGAGACATTCAATAGTTATTTGTTGAAGAAATGAAGTTGGTCTAATTCGGTCCATTTTATAAATTGGGAAATTGAGGCACAGAGAGATGACTTGCCCAAAGATCACATCATTAGTAAAAGAGAATGGGTATGTGAACATAAATCTGCCTGGCCCTGAAAGCCATGATTTTTCCAGAACTTCCTGGGCTTCACCATTTTGCACAAACCACGGAAGTCTGCGTGATAGAAAAGGAAAGGTCTTTCTATTTGATCATCCAGGAGTCTCCATGACCACCATTTTCCCTTCCCATGACCACATAGCTAGCACTCTCTACACTTGACATCTGTAGTATATACAGACTGACTTGTCCACTCTTCCTGTTTCTTATACAAAAGAGGCTGTCCTAGAAAACATTCATATCTTTCAAAGAACTTATTTGCGACACAAAGCCCTGTGGTATGACAGCAAAAACAAGACTTCAGGTCTGGCTCTGCCATTGCTTGTGGTGTGACATAGCCCCTCTTTGCTCCCTTTACCATCTCACACCTGCCTGTCCAAATTTCATAAAGTCTTAGACTTCTAGAGTTGGAAAGATTTTAAATAATTATTTAGCACCATCTCCCGCATTTTACTCACAAGGCAAATAAGGCCAGAGTAGCTGGATTTGTTCAAGATCACATGACAAATTATTGGCAGGCCTGAGGTGTTGAATCTAGGGCTCCTGATTTCCAGTCCTAAGTCCTTTGTACTATGACTGTTTTGAGACTCTCCTAGCTCTGAGATCCCATTGTTTTGTTAATCAGGGCCACATAATATAGAACTCTTAATTGTTTCCTGTGTTAATCTTGTCTCCCCAAATTGTGAGATTCTTGAGAGCAGAAGCTGCTGCTTTATGTGAAGCGACTCCATAAATATTTACCAACTGATTGATTAAGGAAGCAACTATTGGGAAATCCCACTTGGTCAGTTTCAAGATGGAAACCAACATTTTAAGGCTGCAAATTCCCAAAAGTCCTGGAAAGTGATGAGAAGACAAGCAAAGAATATTGAGTGCAATACAGGGCTTAACTTGCCTGCCCTCTTGCCCCTTTCCTGGGCTCTCAGTTAGAGCTGGAGCTATTTAAGCAAGGCTAAGAATAATCAAATTCAGGTGGCCTGCCCTTCCACAGCAGAAAGGGACAGACAATAGAGCAATGGAATTACCAAACTATTGTTTTCTGCATAGAGGTGTGTGGAGAGTGGGGGGAAAGGAGGAAGAAAGAGTTAAGAGATTTGCTGACCCCATGGGGGGCTCCTAAAAAGGTTATATAGAAATCATCCCTTCTTTCTCCACCCCTCCATATTCAAAACCGTCCAAAATTCTAATCAAATTCACTTCCAAAACATAAGTGGGCATATATTTGGCTCCTTATGGAGCACACGGGGCTAGAGGGTGGGAGCTCTTTTCCTTCCCCATGCGAAAAGTAGAGATTCAGGCTGCGTTTTTTTTTTTTTCCCTTTTCCTCTGTTGCTCAAATAGTGTTCTTTGCTCAAACCCCCCTTCCCCTCCTCCTTCTGCAATCTCAGCTCCTAGCCCAAATCTGTTTTCTTCATTGTAACCTCAGCTTCACCGCAATTAATTTTTTTCCCCTCTGGTCACAAGATAATTCCTGACGCCAGTGAGTCTGGAGGTCAGACGAACAGCAAATTGGGGAACAAGGCGGCACTAATTCCTTACAAGTTTCCCTTGAAAAATCTTTTGCTTTAAAAAAAAAAAAAGCTTCTTTGCTGTTCAGGGATTTATGACTTCGGAGGAGCTGTGGGTTCGAACTAGTGTTGGACTGTGGACGGACTGGCAGGGGGCAGGGGAGCTCAAAGATCTGGGGCACTGCCAGGAAAAGGCAAATTCTTAAAGTTAGTGGTTTTAAGTGATTTTTAAAATCCTTGCTGGCAAAGAGGCCCGCCTCTCCCCACTATCAGCGCTTCCTCATTCTTTGAATCCACGACTCCGCGGTATTCGGCGTCAGCCCGGCCGGAGAAAGCCTGTTTGCAATTTAACTGGGCTGTGAACGCCCAGGGTTGGCGGAGGCGGGCCGAGGAGGACTGTTTTGCATAAAGGGGCGTGCCTTCGAGGCGGGCTCTATAAGTACTGGTCTCCGGGAGCGTGCGCGCGTTGCAAGCTGCACTAGAGTCTCTTTTGGCTTTTTCCGCCCTTTCGGCACCTCTAACTTCATTCCTCAATATGAAGGCTCTAAGTCCGGTGCGCGGCTGCTACGAGGCGGTGTGCTGTTTGTCGGAACGCAGCCTGGCCATCGCACGGGGCCGCGGCAAGGGCCCGGCAGCCGAGGAGCCGCTGAGCCTACTCGACGACATGAACCACTGCTACTCGCGTCTGCGGGAACTGGTACCCGGAGTCCCGCGAGGCACTCAGCTTAGCCAGGTGGAAATCCTGCAGCGCGTCATCGACTACATCCTCGACCTGCAGGTGGTCCTGGCCGAGCCCGCCCCTGGACCTCCAGACGGCCCGCATCTTCCCATCCAGGTACGCGTGGGAGTGAGCGGGAGCTGGGGCGGGGCTGAGCCCCAGGGCGGGGATGCTGCTGGACCCCTTGAATTTCCAAGTGCCATGCGTAACTCTCTTTTTTCCTTCTCTCTTAGACAGCCGAGCTTTCTCCGGAACTTGTGATCTCCAATGATAAGAGGAGTTTCTGCCACTGACCTGGCGGTCCTGGCGCCTCCAGGTGAGTATCTCCGCTTTCTCGGGGGGTGGGGGTTGGGGCGCGGTGGTGCTTAAACAGTAAATCTTGGAGTTGGTAGACCTTTTAAGGGAATACCACCCCCTTTGTTTAGGGAAACCAAGGCCAGAGAGAGGAGCAAGTAACTTACCCGTGGTCATATCAAATGAATGACGGAACCAGTTTCTGTAATGTGCGTTTGAACCTTAAACGCATGTTGCTCCTCCCTTCCCTAGTGGCCAAAGATCCAAGAAAGTAAGCGCTGGTCCGACTGAATAAAATAGCCGTTCTGTCTGTAGTTTTGGAGTCGTAAAGGGAGCTGTGTATTCCTCAGCCCTCTCCCAACTAGTGTCAATTCCAAGAGGGAGGGGTGATGCAAGCCCCGCCTGTGGTCCTTTGGCGCCAACTGGGTGGGGGCAGCGTGGGGCGCGGAGTTATCAGCTGGAGGTAGAGACCAAGTTTCCTCCCTGGCGCCGGCCAGTCTGCGGACGGCCTCCGCCTCGGCGCCGTTCCGCGGAAACTGACTGCTCCCTGGTCTTCTTTCCTCCCCCGCCCAGAACGCAGGTGCTGGCGCCCGTTCCGCCTGGGACCCCAGGATCCTATACAGCCGGAAGCCCGAGGGCATGGATGGGCCCCAACCTCTCCCTGACCACTCGACTTCCCCAAGCCCCTGCCTCGAGGCTGGACCTGGTGCCCGGGAGCGAAGGACTGTGAACTTGGGTGGCCTAAAGAACCAGAGCTAGCTCTCTGGGCACCAGCTGGGCAACGTCACCCAGTCCTACCCTACCCCCAAGATTTAAAGACTGTCTTTCAGAGTGTGGGGGGGAGTGGCTGCTCTCCAAACTCTGCCAAGGCAGCGGTAGAGCTGGTCTTCTGGTCTCCTCGGAAAAAGGCTCTGTTGCCCTGATTATGAACTCTATAATAGAGTATATAGCTTTTGTACCTTTTTGCAGGAAGGTGACTTTCTGTAACCATGAGATGTATGTTATTAAACTTTTTATAAAAGTTAACATTTTGCATAATAAACAGTTTTTAAACACTCGTGTATATAATTTGATTGCTTAAGTACTAACATTCTCCTAAGACTGAATTTAGGGGTAATATCCTTGAAACTTGGGGAAAAGAAAACTTGCATATTCCCTTAAAAAGGAGATGGGAAAAGGCCCAGCTAAGACTTGGGTGGGGGAGAGGGAGTGGAAAGGGCTCATGATGGGAGCCCTACTTTCTGAGGGTTGGGTGCAGAAAAAATCCTGGCCCTGTCTCCTCATTTTACAGATTAGGGAGGACTGGATAGGGGAAGTGACTGGCACAAGCTCACCCAGCAAGTTGGGAGCTCAGGATAGAAATCAGTTCTGAGTCTCAGTTCTTAAGTCCCATGAGAGCTTTTGTGCTACACTAGCAGATGACTATCTTCTTCAACCATTAATTATTCATGGTGTCTCTCAGGGGATGTGGAAGAGAAGCCTCATCTGGTGCCCAGACAAGGGTGGTGGTTCATAGACCCATTTTAGAGATGAATAAACAGATCACTGGGTCTGGTTTCATTTCCTTCCTCGCGCTCTCTGGTTTGGAGAGGGGAAACAGGAGAGGGGTCTCTTTCCTCAAATCCTCAGTCACTCTTAATCAGAAGGATTTGGGCGCTGGTTGGGAAATACTGGTACCAATTCTATCTACGAATTGGTACTTGAAGACTCTGACCCTGGACTGGGAATTTGAGGAAAAGGCCCTACAGCCTCATTCCCAAAAATCTCTACTGGGAGCCTACTCTGTAAGCATCTATATCCCTATTTCAGAAATGGATAAACTAAGGCTCAGTGAATAATGGGCATGGGCCAGGTTCTCACAACCCCTTGAAAAACAGAATTTTAACCTTAACTACAGGGACTAACATTGTAATGTACAAGAGCAGAGCCTGAGACTGGCTATTTCATGGGGCCAGGCTCTCGACCCATGCCACTTTACCCCCCACCTGGCAGCTCCCCAGGTGGGCTCTATAGGCTCCTGGCCTCACTAGGTTCCTGTTTATGGTATGATCTCATCTGTGTTGGTCCTTGGAATGAGTTACTTCAATATTTCATAACAAACAGCTCATGTCATCACCCTTCACACCTTAACCCCGGTGAGCTTTCAGGAGTGAACAGGGGCATGTGTGGGGAGGCAACCTGTCTTTGCCAACCATCCTCCTAGCCGACTAGTGGTTCTTAACCTGTTTCCTGGTCTGCTCTGATGATCTGATGGAAATACACACACCTTTGCAGAGCAATAGCAGACCTCTAATCTCCCTGGGAAACCCTCAGTCTCCATGTGAGACCAAATAAGTACAAGACCCAGGCTGAGTCTACCTTTATCATTAGTTAGGTATGTTGTGTGGCTCTGGAGACAGCCACACAAGGGTGCCAATCTTTGCTCTGCCACATACTAGCTGTATAACTGAGCCTGTTTTCACATCTATATAAAACTGTTAATCTTGAAGATACAGTTCTGAGGCACCTGGCCTCATATTACACCATTAATTACGGCAGAGCCAGGCACTGAACTCAACATACCCTTTTTGCCACAGCATGCTGCTTCCTGCTTGCTCGGTCAGAAGTTGCGGGGCTGTGGAAGACTCAAAAGAGCAAGCGAGCCCCTTCACCTCTCCTCCCTTGCCTGGCAGCTGGTGGCTCTTGTGTTGCTGCCTCCCTGAATAGAGATAATGATGGGAAAGTTCTTTGAAATGCATCACACACCTACAAGGTATTATTAAGCTAAGTCCAAGGAGATTGCCTGTTAGGTCTGCTGAATCTGAGGTACTCAGCTGGCTGAGACAAAAGCTGAAACCAGCACACCAATTCATTAGTCATTAGAGAGTGAAAGCAATTTGGCCCTTGGTCAGAAAACTCTCAGGATAGTGTCTTCTGTCGTCATCACTTATTGAGTGCCTACCAAGTGCTAGGCTCTATTTTACCTTAATTTTTTCTAATCCTCACCACAACCCAGCAAAGCATTCCCATTTTACAGATGAAATATATCCAGAGAGGCTGAATAACTTGATCCAGATCACACAGCAAGGAAGTAGCACAGCAAGGATTAGTAAACCCAGTTCCATCTAGCTTCAAAGCCCATATTCTCACCTTTACTCCAGGCCAGCTCTTTCCCCTCGCCCTTCCCTGCGCCTGGCACATATTTGGTCCCCAGCGGGTGCTTGCTGAACGAAAGACCTAAGGCCACCCGAGGTCTCCCTTTCATTTGTAAAAGGATGGTAGTACTTCCTTTGCAGGTTTGTGGTTGAGATTAAAGATAACATGCTTAAAGTATCTACCAGGCTCTATGAAACACAAGATTCACTATTAACTGCGTGTGTTAACGTTCATTATTGCATCAGCTCTGAAATAAGAACATTTAAAAGGGATTTTTACTTTTTTTTTTTTTTTAAGGCTCAAAACAGGCGAAGTAACTTGCCTGTGGTCATATAGCTCCCAAGAAACGGAGGTGGTGGTGCCCTATCGGGAAGGCCAGTTATAGTTCTCCCTTGCTGTGGATGCTCCGGACGACCTTCAACTACTTGTCTTCCCGGCCTGATCACTTCTCATGCCTCCGCTCTTCTCCCTTCCCAAGGCTATACCCTAGAAATCTCTTTTCGCTCTTTTTCCTCCAGAGCTGCTTCTTGGGGCCCACTCTGCCCGCTCCTGGCCCTACAAGAAAACAAACGCTCCCCACCGGCGGCTTCTTGGCGCCCGGGCAGAGGCGGAGCCTCCGCCCACGTGGCCCGGAGCCCAGCTG